CTTGCGAATGGCCAACTGCGAAATTCATGCGCATGTTTGTGCCTCATTTTTGGACATTTTGTATTTTTGCAACGACGACGTCGCGATGTCGGGGCCAAAGTTGCGATGCGTTTTGTGCGAACCACTTGACTGCCCTGTCCTCCAATCCTCCACTCTCCACTCCACTCCACTCTGTTCCTCTCATTTCCTAAACCCCTGGATCCCAGGCTCTTGACTCCTGGCCATTCGCCTCTCGCTTCGATTCCATTCCCAGCTCCAGTTCCGAGGCGCATCCGTGTCGCATCCCATGTCGGACACAACGCATAGATATGTGAGCCAAAGCCACAATACACTGAGGAAAATGAGTGTATTTCTATAATCTATTAAGCGGGATAGAGAATATATATATACTTGAATTACAGTACAGAATACTAAGCCATATACAATGTCATTTCCATATTTAATGCTTTTCTTAGCTACCAATCTCCCTAGTATGTATCTGGTCTTTTGTAATAGCAATTTGTTAAGTTTTTCCTTATAAATACCCAGTTTTTTCGAGTGCATCCTCTCATATTATGCATATGTACACATGTACAGCAAAACTCATTCAATGTTGGCTGTTTATCTGTTTGCTTGCTTTGGCTCGCTTGTTTGTTTGCGCTTAGCTCGCACATCGCGCATCGCACATCGCACATCGTTTTCAAAAATCGAAATTGAAATATGAGCCCCCAGAGGGAGGGGGGAAAGGGAACCTATGGCTGTTGCTATATTCTCGTTGTTTATGCCAAATATTTTTTTATCTAAAAACAGAGGCAAGTGAACTGGGAAAATACCAAAAGAGGATATCGGCGAAGGATACAACAAGCGGCCACGCGGCCCTCCCGGATCGAGTTTCTCCACGGTCACACACACACACCGTCCCCTCCTGGGTTCCTCTTCAAATATGTAGGCATTGATTTTCTGGCATTTTATTTCGGCCTGTTAAATTAATTTTAATATCTCGCTGGACCAAAACACAATGGGAAGAAAACGCTTTAACGTTTTTAACATTTTTATAAATGCCTCATTACAGGCGCTTTTATTGACGAGCTGTGGGCAGAGCTCGGGCCTCGTGTGGATTACTGATTTATGGCCCTCGGACTATTCATTAAAGGCCCGAATTTTAAGCATTGATTTTATTTGATTTTAATAGCCATCTCCAGTCGGCTATTTATCTGCCGCGGACGCAAATAAATCGGCTGTAAAATGGTCAACTGATGGCCCTATCCATACAAAAGCACCGCTAACGCCATCATCGGGATTGGGATGGAAATCTGACTCTGACTCTGACTCTGACTGGGTACAGCGGCCCTTCATCATCCAGGGCAAGGCGACGCCCCATCGGTCAGGCCATAAATTTGTGCAATTAAAAATTATGGTGAGTTTTTACCGTTGATATCAAAAGAGAGTCAGAGCGCCGGGCGGAAAACCCCTCGCAGTCTGGAAACCCACTGGCCCAGCTGGGCAATGGAAATTTATGGCCGCGAGCCCTCGGAGCATTCTCGTAGATGCATTTTGCCTAGCGACTTCGTTGGGCAAATAAATCAGAAATCAGAAAAACCGAAATCAAAGTTAAACGATTCTCGTAGCATAGCCATAAACTTTGGGCCCATCGAAAAACACGGTGGAAAAAATCTACTAAATATTATGGCAGACATGGATTTTTAAAATTAAATTTTAAAGATCTTAAATCTAGTCAAAGATCTGTTTCCAGTAGAACCTACTCCCTACTCATCGCAATCCTTTGAGACTTTTCCGATAAACCAGTTGAGAATTTATCTTTAATACTTAAGTTAAGTTTATTAAGTTCCTGATCCCTATACGAAAACCATATTCCTCTCTCCACAAGCTACTTCTGTGTTGAATTCTATCGTTATCCCAATCTAATTAATTATTTTTCCTCTGCATCCTGATCTAAGTGTGCCCCCTTTTGGGGCTATATCTCCTGGTCTGAGGCGTCGTAAAAAAATGCAAGTGTTAGTCAGGTGGAACGCCACCCCGCAGAGCCAAGTGTCACTCAAATGCTAAGAGACTGAGAGTGCGGAGACCCGCGTTGCATCGGGAAATGCTCATTCAAACTTTTATTTATTTATTTATTATATGCTGTGGCATAAATCAAAACTCAATTTTTTATGTCGCCTGTAAACGGAGCAGGCTTGAAATTTTAATTAACCATCCCGTCGAATTGAAATATTTAAATCGGAGAAGAGGCCGCCCACCAGTTGAGTTTTTGTCGTAAAATAATTAGACCGCACGCAGTGCGAGCTCCGGGATTGATTTCCCGGTGCCAAAGGGGTTGGGAATGGGAATGGTATTGGGATTGGGAATGCGGCCTGGTGCCGATAAGCCTATTAAATCGTGACATTCTTCATGGCTCAATCGTAAATCATATCGTATGCAACGTACATAGATCAATGTGCTTCGATTGTTCGACTGTTTCGATGGCTCGAGTGCGTGTTCGATTTTTAACGACCGCGGCGACGTGCCCCGCATTTGAATCTGTCTCGAGTGCTGCAGTTGAGATTATGTCTAGCTGCAATGCATAATTATTCCCTGTAGAGATAATCGGATAGGCTGGGCATATCGGCTGATTACACTACTACACTTCCTGGAAATGTTCTTGTGGGGATTTATCAAAAAGAGTTCTTGTTAGGAAACATCTATCTAAGTATCGATGCAAGATCCGATTTTGTTTCTTAACTTTAAATATCTAATACATTTATCATATTCTCCTTGTTTAAAAAGAATCATTTTCAAAGTGTAAATCAATTATAATTACAATTATCGTTTAGCGTTTCACTTCATGTAAATCATTTCCCAACCTCACTACCTTGTAAGCTTCTGACTGAAATTATAATACGCTGTACAGGTATAAAATAATCTTAATAATACTTTCATACAATTCCAAGGTATTATATTTTTAGTCAGAATAGAATAACTATTATCTTAGATCTAACCCAATATTTTCATACAAGCCGTAAAACATAATTGTGCAATATCAGTAAATGAAGTAGAAATATAAATAAATTCAATATAAAAATAAAGATTAATATTTCACTTACCCATTTATTATTATCGCTTCTTTCTTTTTCTTCATCATCTTATTTTTGTGTAATTACATGCAGAAGACATCCAATCCTGGCAAATGACGAGATCTCATCAGCGCTTGGCTTAAACGCGCACTTTACTGTTTTCATAACTGTTAGTTCTAAATACATCGTAAATGAAGTAGAAATAAATTCAATATAAAAATAAAGATTCATTTTTCACTTACCCATTTATTATTATCGCTCCTTTCTTCTTCTTCATCATCTTATTTCTGTTTAGATAATAATTAATTAATAATAATAATTAATATTAATTACATGCAGAAGACATCCAATCCTGGCAAATCACGAGATTTCATCAGCACTGTACTTTTATTTTCCTTTGGCTTATTCACGCACCTTACTGTTTTCATAACTGTTAGTTCAAAACACCTCACCAGAAAAAATTTCCATAGCAATGTTTTTTCGGCGAGGTTTCTTGCCATGAAAACACATATGCAAATGCGTTTGCAAGAGCGCCAACACACACATACAGGTTGGCGGGTGCTGCTGCTGCCGCTGCCGTCTATTGTCCACGAGTGTCTCACCTCTTTATTGTAGTTTTATTGGCTTTAATTAGATTTTCATTAAGAAACTGCTTTAAATATGTCTTATTTTGCCTATTAGGTAGTTGGTTATTAAGCTTAGGTACTTACAGAATTTATAATGTTTTCACATTCCGCTTTCCGCTGATACAGTTCCCGTTAGGAGCAGAGGCAGCGCTCACTTCACTTTTGTTTTGCCTTGGCTCGGATTAACCACGCACTGTACTGTTTCAAGAACTGCAAGCTCAAAACACACCGCAAGAAAAAATTTCCATTGCGATGTCTCTTTTGGCGAGGTTTCTTGCCATGCCAACACACATGCAAATGCGTATGCAAGAGCGCCAACACACACATACAGGTTGGCGGGTGCTGCTGCTGCCGCTGCCGTCTATTGTCCACGGGTGTCTCACCTCTTTATTGTAGTTTTATTGGCTTTAATTAGATTTCCATTAGGCAACTATTACGTAGTTGGTTATTAAGCTCACTTAGGTACTTACAGAATTTATTATGTTTTCGCATTTCGCTTTCCGCTGTTACAGTTCCCGTTAGGAGCAGAGGCAACGCTCACTTTACTTTTCGTCTGGCTCGGCCTATGCACGCACTGTACTGTTTCAAGAACTGCAAGCTCAAAACACACCGCAAGAAAACATTTCCATTGCGATGTCTCTTTTGGAAAGGTTTCTGGCCTGGCACACAATCATACACATACGTGTATGTATATGCATATGTGCATAGCCGCCCACACACATGCATATTGGCGAGTGCTTCTGCTGGCGCCGCCGTCTAATGTCCGCGGGAGTCTCAACTCTTCTTATTGTAGTTTTAGTGGCTCTAATTATGTTTCCATTCGGTAGCTGTTTTACAAACGTTTAATATTATTCATCACGTAGTTAGTTATTAAGTTTGCTTCGGCACTTACACAAGTTATAGTGTTTTCACATTCCGTTTCACGCTGATCTAGTTCCAGTTCGGAGCAGAGGCAGCGCCAACTTCACGTTTACTTCAATTCTGGAAAAATTCGGGTGTTTTCTTTACTTTTTTCATTGTCCCCGCATAATATGCACTTAGTTTAACTGATTTAATTGTTTGGTAAGTATTATTAAACGTTTCTTCAGTCGATAAATGTTTTTTCAGCAGCAGCACAACTCAAGTGACACACTTTCGGCAATTTCGATCCTCTTTTGCTGGTTCCGTCCTCTATTCCTCTTCGCCCGCTGGCTCTCGCTCTCAAAGCTGCTGGGCATCGTACTCTCACTCTCATTCTCTTTTCGGCACTCTGAGAGTGGGAGCGAGTGTAGTGGAGAATAGGCGAGTGAATAAGAAGAAGAACGAAGCCGCCAAAAGTGTTAAATTTTTGCGCGCTGCTGCTGAAAAACATTTATCTGCTGAAAAACAGTTTAATAATACCTAAAAAACAATTAAAATGTTAAAACTAATAGCGTTTTATGTGGGAACATTGAAGTGAGCTTAAAACAAGTGGACAAAGCTAATTTTTCACGAATTTAAGTGAATGTTAAGTGAGCGCTGCTTTTACTTCTAACTGGAACTGGATCAGCGTTTAACGGAATGTGAAAACAATATAAATTGTGTAAGTGCTGAAGTAAACCAAACAACTAACTTAAGTTATAAGCAAAATAAGACGTTAGTAAAGCCGTAGCCTAATGGAAATATAATTACAGCCACTAAAACTACAATAACAACAATTGAGACTCCCGTGGACAATTGGCGGCAGCGCAGCACCCGCCAATATGTATGTATGTATGTGCGTTGGAGTATACATATTTTTTAAAGGGAGTGAGGGCATGGCTCTCACTCTCCCTCTCTCAAAGCTATATGCAAAATAACTGTTTTCTGGCCATGTTTGAGCGTTTGAAAGCAAGAAGCGGGAAATTTAAATTTAACGGGCTTGAAGGGTGAGTATATAAACCAAACGAATGGACAAGTGCAATAATGCTGATTAAATATTTCAGAGACAATCGGTGCGTTATTTTATTTAAAAAATGGAGAAAGGATGGAAAAAGATAATATTGCGAGTGTTAATTTCCAAACAAACAACAATAAGATGAAAAAAAAGAATGAGACGATAATAAAAAAAACGGTAAGTGAAAAATTTAATATTTAAAATTTTACAAAATTTTTACAAGATTTACCAATATTTTTATAAACTTAATTTGTAGATTAATTAACCAAACAAAAGCTCTGAGAGATGAAATTAATGATTTTTTGTCGGGATTATAGATTTTTAAACTTTGGATGCCCCAAAAAATGTATATTGATTTAGGGAAACATCTGCAAGTATCTTTTATCTGTAAAGTACGATACTAAAGTCAACTCCCCTGTGACATAACAAGCAGTAATTACCAAAATTAATGACTTGCCAAGTAATACCCATTTCATGATATCTCCCCTCGTGATATTTGACCACGAAGAGTGTACTTTTTTTATTGAACAAATCCCACAAACTGTCCGGGAGTCCGCTCACGCACACTTTACCCGAAACCACATCCAAATCCTCACACAAATCTCGCCTGCCCAATTTGAAATGTCACAGCGCTGACACTCACTTGACAGCTAACAACCAGACGATAAATCGATTGAATATTACCAACAGCCCTCGGAGAAGATTAATTTATATTTTGGGGGGAACCGAGGACTCAACATAAGCAAACACGATGAGCATTAAGATCAAATTACGCGATAGCTGGCGATACGTCCGATGGAGCAGATGGGGCACCGCCCAGAACTGGAGAGTGTTCAGGAATGCAGAGGCAATGGCCCCCGAAAAAACCATATATATGCATTATTATTATGGAAAACCTATCAACACACGGCGATCGACAAATTGAAAAGCAGCTAGCGCGACGTGCGGTGAAAAATGATTTTCCCTAATGATCGCCAGCCCGAGATTGGCAACCGTTGAGTCAAGATCAAGAGGCCAAATATGAAGGAGAATCCAATGAAAAATAACGAGCAGCCTCAAATATATAACTAAACATAAAATCGAAATGGCAAGCCCCGTTAATACGGAAACTCAGATCGGAGGGGAGCGGATACCAGGACGAGGATCCGTTTGTCGACACCACTGCCATATGGAGATACCCAATTCGCGTATGTGAAAATGCTGCAAACTCCGCGATTGAAATCAAACGCCCACTTGGAACTTGAACTCGAGCTAGGCCATGGAAATTCATTGCAATTTGCATAAACCAGGCTTTTGGGGAGAGCGGAGTAGCAGCAGCAAAAAAAAATAGGAAACACTGACAATTGACAACGGCAACTGCAGCAACAGCAGCAACTGCACCAACAACAGCAACTGTTGCCTGCTCATGCCCAGCGAAATTGTCAATTCGGCAACATGTTGCTGCTTTTCTGGCTGCTCGAGTCGCCACAGTTGCAAGTTGCAAGTTCCCAGTCTCCACAGTTGCCATGGTCAAGTGCAGAAACAGGTTGCAACTTCCTCGCTGCAACGGCAGCTCTGATTCGGAATGCACAATGCAAAATTGTTGTATACCATTGTCATTAATTGTATATTATATATGTTTTGTCAGGAAACAAATTGAAATTAGTCATTACCTTTTATTTTTAGTAAGAGGTAATAGATCTATTGTCTCATATACTTCCATACAATTCCATGTTGCAAGTCTTATAGCAGTTCAATTCATTAATGACATAACAATTAAGAAATAAGTTAGAATGTTACAAGATATTTTCTAATATCAATTTATCGCTTAATTGAGATCTACCTTGAGATAGCTTTAATTGGCTCTGTGAAAGATATTTTATGTTGTATTTCCTTAAGTATTAATAATGAAATACCTTCCATATTTTCCTAGCTTCACAGAATACCTAGATTTTCTCACTCTGCATTTATTGTGGCTTCTGCTGCTGCTGTTAGATGGCCTCGTGCAGATTGCTGTCGCTGGCCGAGACGCCTGAAATTTGTAGCAGTCAACGGACCTGGCCGGGTAATTGTTGGCAACAGAGCAACAGTGCAACAGTGGAGCAGTGCAGCGGTGCAGCAGTGCCACAGCGTTGCAGCAACTTTGGCTATATCCCTGAATGCAACATGTTGCCGCCGTTAGCCGTTTGTCGATTGTTTGATAGTCAGAGACTGATGATGACCATCAAAATGATGCATTCGTACACCCATGAGTTTTGACGTGAAATCAAAGTCGTCGTCGCCTGGGCATAAATTTTGTGGGAACGAACACGTATGTACGTGGAAGGAGCAGCTCCTCCTCCTCCGCCTCCATTCGACTGGCCAAGATTAATGCGCAAGTCAATGGCTGTTCATGAGATTCCATGCAATTGCCGGCCGGAAGCGATGATCTTGTTAATTTGATAGCCTTGCCGATGCCTAACCGCCAATATATCATCATTAGAAATTTGTGAGTTTTCAACGCATTCGCACACGTCCCCTCGTAATAACCAGGGCGAACCCAGGTGCTCCCAGAGTTCCTAGAGCTCTGTGTGCTCCATGGGGCGTAGACCATTGCTGGCCTAGATTCGCCAGAGAGTTACAGTTACACCGACTCCTACTCGGCAGAGTGGCAATTAACACTCGGACGGCAACAAATCAATTTTGCCCGCTCCTTTCGCCACATGTTGCAGGAAGATGCGTACCGAATCGATTTGACTGCGATGCACTGCACCCACTGCACTCGGTCGGTTGCAACTGCAATAATTGCTCCAGTTTTTTGGGGCCAACAAATTGGCAGCTGGAGTCTAGTCCGGCTCCTTGGCATTCCTACTCCTCCAGGTTCTCCTCCAGGTCCTCCTCCTGCTCCTACTCCTCTTGCTCCTCCTCCAAGGCAGACAGCAGACGCCTTGCGCATACGAAATGAGACAGCCGACGACAGGGAGGATGTGGAGCTGGTGAGGATCTCGGTTGAGGAAGAGACCTCAATGAAGAGGTTTTCCTGCCGGCCATTCCTCTTCTTCACTATTTTTGCTGGCTTTTCCTGGCTATTTTTTTGTAGTGTTTCCTTTGTGTTTTTGTTTGGTTTCTTTGTTGTTGTTGCTGTTGTTGTTTGTGGTGTGTGGCGTCGTCCATTTCCATGCTCAATTTTCCAATGTTTCCTGTGACCGCCGAACAACCTGGCGACGACAGCAGCGCGAGGCAGGCCTCGGAATGCGTTGCAAGCTGCAAACAATTGCGATTATCGAACGTGGCAGGGTTTACTCTAAAGACACAAGGGTATTTCTGGTCTCTGAGGAGGTTGGTTACTTCATGGATAAGTTTTTAAATATTATTCGCAGGATTTTGGTTAGATTTTAAAGCCGAATAGTCTTTTAATTCCTTTTGAAATCCTTTAGAAATTGAAGTATTTTAGCATAGTAAATATAGATTCTTAGAGAATTAATGTACAAATTCCCTTTCTCTGGAAATATTGACCTTAGACTCAAAATTAAGTCATCAAGGCAAGCCCCACAATATTCTCAGACCTCGTAACCTGGGTCGCTGCATCTATGGCCATCTCTCGAAACTCTTTACCTCCTCCTCGTATTTATGTTTTTGGCCTGGACCATCGTTCCTTTGTGTATTTCGCGGGGCAACGCGATATAAATTGCAGATTTCTAACGCAATTTTCATAGCTGCATCCTCGTCGCCGCCGCGACTTTGACAACGTTGCCATTGTTGCCGTTGTGGCGGGCCAGCAATTGGTTCTGGCTTGTTGCAAATTTCAGACATTTCCACTCGCAATTCCCTCACATCTAACCGAACTTTTACCTCTTCGGGGATATATTTTCAATAATTTTCGGTTATGATAATTCCAAGTTGCAGCAACAATTGTGGATTTGCGATCTCTATCTGTGGGATCTAACCTGGTTTTGAACTTCTTTTATTAGAGAAGCGAAGTTACCATACAATTCTTTCAAAATCAACTTTAAATAAATAGTATTTACGGGGCATTTAAGCAATTATTTTACAATTTCAAAGTAAAGATACCTTACTAGATTTCTGAGATAATGTTCAACCCTTTCTATAGCAATGATAAACCCTTATGAAAAAAGCCTAAAGACCTCATCAGTTATTTCTACATAAATAAATAAATAATTCCATAATCTCTCCTTGTATTTTTTCCTTTTAGAAAATATTTATTACCAGTCATATCCTCACCCGTCATCGGATTACTTAACACATCTGAGAGACAAACAATTACCGGCCAGTCATGTCCGTCTCAATTAGCATATCGCAGTCGGCCAGCCGGCAAATCCTTTCTGCCCCGTCAATCCATCTCTCACGCAGCTCACCTGGGAGCTCACCTGAGCCAACATCTGTTGGCCATATCTTCTGCTTTTTATGGCAGAACACCTCCTAACAGCGCACTTAAGCGGGAGTTACGACCCGGGCAGGACTCGGGCCCCCGTGTGCCTGTCTTGCATAACATTTCCTTCATCAGTCGTCGGGCTTCTTGACGGTTTATTGAAAACAAGGCTCACACACGCCCACGTTAATATTAATTGGCCATAAAGGGGTGGGTGGCAGGAGGGGCTGAGCGGGGCCGCAGGGCAGACAGGCGACAAGACAGAATGACAAAATGCAATAACAAATAATACACAATGTTCAATAATCGCCGCGATTGTCATTGGCATTGTTTTGGCTGACGGTGACGGGGCCTTATGCCTTATGACTGCGGCGGGTGGCTTTTGTAACTGTCTGCGGTTTCTGGCCAAAGCTCGTGCCTGGCAAGCCAAGTTTGCACCACCAACACTACCCACCGCAAACCACCCGCTACCCGCTACAGGGAGAGAAAAGTCAGGAACTATTCAAATTGTAGGTGTATGTTAGGGAGATCTTCTATTGAAAATGATTTAACTTTAGGAAAGCCTTTATAACATTTAGTAAACAATTTAATTTGCTTATTTGAATTCCCATAAAAATGCAAATAGTATTTTTTAAAAATACATATAGTAAAGACCTTTTTTCTTTCCTCTTTAATTGCTTTTCCCAGTGCACTCGCTTGGCAAAATGTATTTCTTTTGACGGCATCTGACAGCCACTGTCATTTTATTAAATATGGTTTTCTTGATTTTCCCAGCTCTGCCACCGCAGCACCGCTACCACCGATAGCACCACCTTTCCC